GCAACTTTGGCCAACAGTCACTTGCAGAATTGAAAATACAAGCATATATACTTACTGTGTCCCACCGATCTGGATGCTGTCCAGTTCTTAGGATACCAGGTCTTTTAATTTTTAAAACTATATGATTGAGTCTGTAATTCTCAATTATCATATTTCAGACTTAAGTTTTTGTTTTTCTATATTACTATCATGTAATCACTATTCAAAGTAGATGCTACTGATTATGAAGGTGTTATTGTACAATCATTAGTAGACTCAGTGTGTTCACATTAGTAATGTTAAGGTTCTACATCGAAAATCAGCTATGTTAATTTTAATAACACTAGGGGGCTGGGCACAGTGGCCCACACCTATAATCCCAGTACTTTGGGAGGCTTAGGGGGCAGATTGCTTGAGGCCAGGGGTTTCAGACCAGGGTGGGCAACATGGCCAAACTGTCTCTACTAAAAATACGATTATCTGAACATCGTGGCACATACCTGTAATCTCAGCTACCTGGGAGGCTGATGCACGAGAATCATTTGCACCCAGAAGACAGAGGTTGCAGTAGCCAACTAATGGAAGAAACCCATTTGGAATCAGTTTACAGAATCTTAGCTTTTTTCATTTCAATGTCTTTAATAGTACCACCACCAAACCTGCCCTCACACCTTACCAAATTTTGTTTCAGGATTAAAAAGATAACTCACTTGTGGCCATTTCCTCACTCCTCCCAAAAAATCCTGTCAATATTTGAAAAATATCAATGGCTCTCCCTCACTTTAACAAATAATTTTGGTCAGATTTCTCTCACTAATCTTAGATTCTTCCAGGTCTCATTTTAACAAGTACCAGAAGGAGTATTATGAATATATTTAATAATCAAAAATCTGCCAAAAAATAATTCTGAAAAATTTTCACGTTCTTTAGTCTATTACTATATATAATACAAGTACCTGCCCAAAAGTATTTTCATCCTCCTGACTTCTAAACCAAGTGATTTTCCTCAATTTATTAGACTGGATTCTTACAGAAAGATAAAAAGGGTTTTGAATGGGCAAGAACTACAAAGTTTCCCAAGAACTTTAGGGAAACAAAAAAATCAAATAATGCAGAGACAAGGTACTTAACTGCAATTCTTGGTGTTTTTTCAGTTAAACAAATCTTAAATTCCCAAAGCCAGGTGAACCATTAAACCTCAATAATGTAACACAATATCTAAATACTACAATTCCTAAAGGGAAGAGTAAGTCTGAATTTGTAGTGTTAGATCAGAAAGTAAAGCCAAGGAAGACAAACTGGAGCATGGCGATTTCCATTTTAGGATCTTAAGTAGAGTGGAGAAGCACACAACTTCATAGAAAATTTGAGTAATGTTCTTCAGGCTAAGAAATATAAATCTTGATAGTAATAAATGTGAAATTTTTGTTTTCTCACCAGTGTGGGAAATTCTAAACACAGAAAAATGTTTACACTAAGTTGTTCTCCCCAAAATATACTTGCAACTTGTGTATCTGAATCTCCCATATATTGTCTTTTCCTTTTCAGATAACCACATTTTAATATCAGCATTGGTGATTGCCAGCACAGTAATTTTGACAGTTTTGGGAGCAATCATTTGGTTCCTGTACAAAAGACATTCTGATTCTCATTTCACCACAGTTTTTTCAACTGCACCCGAATCACCTTACAACGAAGACTGTGTTTTGGTAGTTGCAGAAGAAAATCCTGTTGAATTTGACTAAGCTTTTGGTAATCCTGCACTAAGATATCAACAAAATGCCTTGGACGAGATTCTTGGGAAGGATTTTAATATAAAACTTGACATTGGATCTTACAACTTTAATGGTATTCCTTATTCTAGTAACATTATTTTTATGTATTCATCTGTTGTGACAAAAATCTTTAGGTTCATTATAAAATCAGGTTTTAGAAATGATCTTAGATCTAATGTAGTGATTTTAACCACCTTGTCAAATGCAAAATGTCACTTGAAGGAAAGCTTTAAGCCCAAGAAGCAGATAAAAATAAAAGCCCAGCCTATTTGTCTCACCTGATGTATCTTCCCTATTTACTTATATGTTTATTAGTAAATATGAAATGGGGAATAAGTGATTTTAAGTACATCGCATACATTTAAATAATCTTTGATAATGGTTACTTTGGCAGGTAATTCCTCTAGAATGTGTATCTCCTTTTATGATTTAGATGAAGAAAATTTTACAACTTTTATAACACCCCTTAACACATACATAATTTTAGTTTCATTACTTTTATACATACCATTTAATCACGATTCAAGTTTTAATGGAATTTTATAAATTTTTTAAAACTAAATATGATGGCTGTGTCCAGGAAGGCATGGAGAAAGCTGGCAATTAGGTTAACACTTATATATCACAGTGCCACTTTAAGGATTTCTCTCCTGCCAACATACCTTTTGTACCTTCCCCTATACAAGATGTATCTCATTCTCCTCAAGCATTTATAAATTTTTCTTTCAAAGACACGAAAACTGTAAGCAAAAACCAAAGAAAAACAATGAGTACAACTGTGGTGACGATGATCAAAGTTTTTAGTACATTTATTGTACATTTTAAGAAAAAGGTGAAAATCATTTGGGGAGTAAAAGAAGAAGCTGAGTGATTTTCCTCACCATCAATAACTCTACAACAGGCAAGAATGTATAGATTTCATGTAAATTAGTCATCTATCACTTATCAATGGGGACAGGTTTTAAAAAATGCATAGTTAGGGCATCTCTGTGAACATCAGCATCAGCGTGTACTTACATAAACCCAGATGGTATAGCCTATTTTGTTCCAAATGCGCACAATATATTACTGTGCTGAACACTACAGGCAACTGTAACAGTTAAGTATTTGTGTATCTAAATATAGAAAAGGTAAAAATATGGTCTACTATAGGAACACTGTTCTATACGTGTTCCATTGTTGTCTGAAGTATACTGTTTATAAGTCTGAAGCTCAAAGAAAAACAATCCCTCTCCTGAATCCACACTCCATCAATTATGTTATTTTCTTATGGGGAGATACACTATCTCACTAGCTTGACTAATGGCAACAAAGTCCCAGCTTGTGTAATCTCTTTTTATTGACCACATAAATCGAAAACACACCTCATAACAATTAATGGCACTAATGAGACATGAGTAACTAAAAAGTGACAGAAAACTATCAACAGTGTGGCTATCTGGTATTGAAAATGCAGGCATTACACTGTCTGTTACACAATCATGCTCTATAAGAGCTTTACATTTCCTAGATTTTCTGTATTGATAAAGATGTCTATTTTATTATTGATAGGCTATCAATGTCAATCAATAGTGAACATTACTCTGGAATTCCTGATTTTCCTACCCAAATTCTACCACACCTTGAAGAACCACAGGCACAGTAAAAACATGGCATATTATGGGAACTAAGAGTTCTAAGGAGTTCTTAAAGGAGTGGTAGAATTTGGGTAGAAAGCAAGTCCAACTTAAAACCAAGTCTCAAACATTTAGAACTACAATGTCCGATAAACCACTAGCCACATGAGGCTACTGAATTTAGTTTAAAATCCAGTCTCCCAATAACATTAGCCACATTGTCAAGTGTCCAAATAACAGGTGGTTAGTGGGTACTATACCGGTCAACATAGATTACAGAACTTTTTCATCCTTTTAGGCAAGTTTTATTGGGCTGTGCTGCTCTTAAATCTTACTTTTTACTCAACTCCCATACAACTTTCTTCTGCATGTTTTCGCACTTTCTACCTAATGGCAGCTCTTCCAAACTAGCTGTTTTAAACTTTGATTTAATTTTCAGTGTTTGGTTTCATTTTTCAATACGGGAAGAGGCCTCTGGTAATGAAGTGTGTGCTCTCTCTAAATATAAATATATATGATGGATTCTCGCTCTGTCACCCAGGCTAGAGTGCAGTGGCTTGACTTCGGCTTAATGCAACCTTTGCCTTGTGGGTTTTCAAGCGATTCTCCTGCCTCAGCCTCCTGAGTGGCTGGGACCACAGCCCCCTGCCACCACACCCAGCTAACTTTTTGCATGTTTGATAGAGATGGGGTTTCACCATGTTGGCTAGGCTGGTCTCAAACTCATGACCCCAAGTGACCACCCATCTTGGCGTCACAAAGTGCTGGGATTACATGCATGAGTCACCCTGCTTGGCCTATATTTTAATTTTCTTTATACACCTGAATATCTGTAACAGGCCCCTTACATATTCATTAGTCAAGAGATAATTGGGTTACATAGGCAGGCTTGTTTATTACATTCAGAATGTAGAAACTGCTTTCTTCAACATCTTGGTTCTAGCTATTAATAACAATATAATTCTTTGGTAGATATTTAGAATAACATTTTAAACTATAATTTGTTAGAAAATTGCATTTTTATAGTGTGCAGTGTATGGTCTCTTTAATTCTGAGTTTAAAACTGATAACCAATGAAAGCCTTTTCTCTTATTCCTCTGTCATTTACATGATAATCTGAAGCTAATATGACAATATTAAAATACTAAATGGTATGGAAAACTACAAGAATACTGCAAAGCTTAAGCCATTGCTATCACTGTCATTTAGCATTTATTGACGGAACTATATAGAATATCTTATATGCATACCAATGAATGTTTTGTACTAGTTAAAAATTTTAAATAAAGTTTTACGGGTTAAGCAGAAGACAACTAACATACTGAATTTTATTAAAAGTATGTATGCTCAAATTTAAAGCATCCTTAAGGACAACTATCACACTGAATTTTACTGAAAGTAAATATGCTCAAATTCAAAGCACCCCTAAGGACCCACAGAATATATTAAAACTACCACCCTTAAATTTTATATTTTTGCTTTATGACAAACAACGCAAAGACAACTGGCAAGAGGTGAGCAAATGTTTTAGAACATTTATATTATATGAGATTTGAAATTTTAATAAAATTCTTGGTTATAAAGTTTGAAGTCTTCTTTGAACACCAGTTTAAAAGGAAACATTTCAAACTGTAAATAAATCAGTGTGCACTTTATTGGAGCCAATGTTTTACATAAAACCAACAAACTAAGTGTGGGCAAATTGTCATTCACTTTTGAGAAATTACATGGTTCCTATTTAGGTTTGAAAAAGTAGTTTGTTGCAATAACATCAGACCTTAACTTGTTTTAAAGTGTATCTCAAGGGTATTGATTGACAGAAGAAAAAATACAGTGTTATGTAAGTATACACAACTCATGACCACAGTGTAGATCCATTCATGGTGAATAAGGTACATCTGCCTTTTAAAGGTAGTGAAAAATACTAAGTCATCAAATAAATGCTCAGAATTACCAAGGAACAGTTAAAAATGACCAGAATCCAAACAGGTTATTTATATCATATTTATCTATAAAGAAGTGACAACACTAAAAAACACATTGAAAACCAGTGTTTTAAACTTTGAATGTGGGATTTAAAAATATTCCATTAACTTGAGATTGCAGTATTTTTTTCAAACCAAATAGCATTTGACTGGCAATTCTCATAGAATTTACAGCTGTAATATTCCTAAAAGGAATATCTACATACTATAGCCTATCAAATATAATCTGCATTTTGCAAATCAATACAAAAATGCATCCATCATTTATACATTTGATATATATGTACTTTTTTTAAAAATTTGATTTTATTGCTAAGTGAATTTGGAATTCAAATTAAATTTGGAAACCTAATATAATGCTCTTCTCGGAACCTTCTCCCATTCTTTTTTTAGTTTTTGTTTTTAAACACTGGAAGCAAATGATTATCAAAATGAGACTGCAACTTAAGGCATTTTAAAAGAAAAAGAATTAGGTGCCATATGGATTTAATTTCAAACGCGTATTTTGTCCCACTTTTCTCACTAGCAAGAGACTAAAACACAAATCTTTTTTTCATAAAGATGACTACAGTAATCAGAACACAAAAAAGGGTTGATGGGCATTGCTTAGATATTTAAAACAAGGGTAATACTTTCCCACTCACCTAAAAGAAAAAAATCTTTTTGATTACCAGTTTATAAACATCAGATTTGCTGTGTTAAAAAAGTCCAGCAGAATTTTAATTCAGCAACACTTGAGAATGAATATATATATACAGGCATACATGTGTGTATTCATTTTATATATAGTCAATGTATTTATTAGGCATTCCCCTACAAAATTAATTTATATTTAATTGCCAGTTTTAATAAACACTTGTGTTCACAGATCATCCATCTGTCTTGTATGAAGTTAGGCAATATCAAATGTCCTGTTATGGTCTCCATCGTCTTCGGAATCATCCTCTGAAGCTGTTGAAAGAAAACAGGATAGTCAAGAATGATTTTAAGGGGGATAAAAATGGGAAGTGTAAATATGAAGCCAGAACAGCAATGACTTGTAAAAACAAAAATCCCAATTTAGTATATTGTTTGATCAAAATGATAAGTTATATGACAGGTTAGGGTGGTCTGACTGTCGGTGATTCCCATCCACAATGCCCCCGCCCCCACATCTTTTTGTAATGTTCTGTCAATTTTTATAAAAATGAAAATGCTTAAAAATGTTCAAGAGCATCTTCTAAACATTTTTTCTGAGATAAATCTGTCTTCATAGTAGCTAATGATATATAAACACTAGGAAAAAAAGTGAATTTAAGGCAAGTGCTCTCACACACCTGAGTAGAATCTGGCTTATTACCGCTGCATGTTTGATGCATCCGATGAAAATGAAAAGAAATGTACATAGAGTAAGAGGTTATGGGTGTTCTTGCAATTTACATCAAAGCTATGTCTATACAATGCCAACATAAAAGTTCATTTAGTAAGTCAGAAAAGCTTCATATAGACACAGCCTAAATTAAAGTAACTGGATTCAGTAAAACCTATTGTTGAGATTATTCCCTTGTCTCCACACTGTCAGAAACTTATCACCTTTGTAATATTTCTGACCTCAATTTATTCAAGAGTCACTAGTGGCTCAAGAGTTAAAAATAAAGCATCCTGGGTGTCTTTAGGAAGGACATAGTAAGTATAAAACTATGAATTCTATGAACTGCTTTGCACATGAAAGAAAACGCAAACTCACTAAAATAAACATCTAACCACCATCTTTCCCCCGTTATCAAGGGCAGAAAGGTTTAATGCACTCTTTTCATATTTACATTGGACAAATTAAGAGCATCCAACAAATGGAATCAACCTAGGGCAGAGCACAGAAAAACTATGCAATACTAATAGATTTAAATCCATTCAATAAATGACACAAGCATACAACTGGCTCATGACTGATATAAACTCTATTAAGTTTTATGCTGTATCACTGAGAAATACCAAACTAAAAGATAACGACTTATTAAGGAATTTCTTGTGTTTTTCCATTTAACTCCACTCCCTAGGAGAGGATAATTTAGTCAGAACCCATTTCAGAATGTATGAATACTCTAGTGTTTAGGGGTTAACTTGTACCACCCATGTCTTTCATGCTCAGTTGAGTTTGGACAAATTTCACCTCCATCTTTTTCTTCCCACATGTTAGGAGTGGACAATACTATGTTTAAGAAACTAAATTTTAAATGACAATGTTAGTTTTTTAAAATGGAGAAACTTGGGGAAAACATACACTGAAACAAATTACTATCACGACATTGAACAAAGTATATAATTAAAAAACAACAACAACAACAAAGAGACCTTTGCATTAGTCCAACATAAGGAATATGAAACCAAGGTTTAAAGGGAAAAAAATTTTATACCAAATGAGTTTGCACTGACTCCTTTATTTTCACATATCCTAATTAAAATTGTGAAAATATGCTACCTGATTCCATCTCAAATCCTTTTAAAACTTGAAAGTAGTATACACTTAATGACAAAAATCTATGTTTTAGATTATCTAGAATTAAAAGGTTCCTATGAGGACTAAGTCCTTTTTAAACTTAACTTCAAAGGATGTTGAGCTTTCTCTAAAGGTAAAAACAGTATGCGTACTACAGATAACACTCCAAATAGTTCGAAGATGAGTATGGAAAGTAATCAACTGAAGAATACATATTTTAAAAAGACACTTCGAGTAGTGTTTTGGAATGGGTAATGAAGTGTAAAGAAGTGTAACGAAGTGTAACTTCGAAGGGTAAAAAAGTAAAATATGCAGGGGTTGGGTGGGGTAATCTTCAATTGCCAGTTCCAGGAGATTAAAAAGAGGGTAGGCTGTACAGATGCCTGTCAAGATTTGAGAATTAAGTGCCTTCACTTATGAGCCCAGGCAGAAATCCTGACGATGGAATGTGATCTTAAGAGACTGGAGCTATTGGCAGAGCTTGCCTACCTATTAAAGGTCCATGAGAACTTATAAAAAGCCCCCCCCAAAAAAAACCTCACCAAAATAAGCCCTTTATGGCTTCTGATATGGATTCAGAATTAGGACTCCTGGTCCCATATTTTCCTGGAATCATATCACAAGCCCAGGAATAATCTTTTATGATCTAACAAATCTGAGTAAACAGGCAAAATTTCTTACCAAAAACAAAATTTTAAAAATCATAACAGATTAAGAAATATGGTTCGATTAGTATTTAAGATTTATGCCTTCCTTTTTAATTATAAATCACCTGAAATCAAGGTGATCAACAGTAAATTTCTCTTTGAAAAAAACAAAGGATGAAAAAAATTACATTCTTCCGTACTTTAAAATATGCTTTAAAAAAACTAACGTCAGTTGCCCAACCCATATTTCCCAAATCAATCATTTTGGTATTACTAATCCTATAAGTGAAGCTCTAATTTGGCAGAAAAGAGTTATACTTAGGTTTTTCTCTGTGGATTTAATTTGCAAAAGTAAATTCAACAAGTCTGGGGAGGGGGGAAATTCCACCTACTTTCGAGATCTTCCATATGTGCCTGAAGAGTTCTTGCAAGGTTAATAAACTAGAAACAATGCAGAAAGAAATACAGTAGTTTAAATGTTGCAAATGGTTCTAAAGAGAGAATAGTTTAGGAGATTCATTTCTACTTAATAAGTCAAACATCATTTTAAGACTTTAAATAGGGGTCTTTCTCCCCCCAACATCGAAAATTACAAGCTTAATGGTATTAATTTTTAAATGTTTTATATAATCATTATAATCATGTAGAAACCAGTTTTCTAAAAATGGGAGGAGATAAAATAATTTTATCCAATAATATTGTTTTCTCATAACACTTAAAAAAAATTATGAAATGGAGGGAAAAAGGCCAGAAAACCATCCCTTGTATTTGGACCCAAATAAATTCAACTTCAGCGGCCATGAAAAAACAACAACAAAAAAACCTCCCAAGAATCCATATTTTCCTACCTAAATTTGATAAAGTATACATTTTATGCCAAAAAAAAGTATACATTTTTCATTAAAAAAAAAAATCCTATTGACTTCCACTTTGGAGTATTATCCAACATTTTGTAATTCTTCACCTTAAAACTTGTAAATATGAACTTTCACAAACACATTAAATTCAAAAGTTCTTACAGGTTTTATGTGGTTTATTCATTCTGAAGATTAAGGTACTTTTTTAGAAATCATTTTACAGTATTAAGGTTTTAGGGGCTCACAATTTCTAAAGTACTTAGAAGTCAAGAGATCTTTGCTCAAATTCCGAATGCTCTTGATAGATAATAATAATGTTCTTCAATGATAATTATCTGTTAAGTGGCTCACTGGAATAATGTCCACATGATGATAAAATACAGAAAAATATTTTACTAATTTAGAAGTAATATACACATTGAATTGCAGTTATGTGATAATTCTCAAAATAAAAACATTACATTAACTCTACTACATTTTCATCACCAAAGTTAACAGTAATATAACAAAGTTTGAAGGATAGACTTATGAACACATTTCAAGATATGAAGTGTTCAGAATACTACAATAATGGGAGATATATAGAGACCCTAGCCCTTGCTACACAAAATGGCCCAGACAAGCAGAGCATGAAGTTTCCTCCGGTACACTGAGGCAAAAAGCATAATTTACTTATAAATACCTAACAAACAGCTAGCAAAAATGTCATATTATGGCCAATAGCATACATAGTCAACAACCAACTATTCCGTATCTAAAATAGTTTGTATGTAATCTGGACACTTAAAAATTAGTACACTGGGGGGCCACGGTGGCTCCGGCCAGTTGTCCTGGCACTTGAGGAGGCGAGGCCATGAGTTCAAGGCCAACCTGAGCAACGCTACATGCTCTCATTGATTGACAAAGAAAAAAAAAATTAGTACACTGGTTGTATTTTGTAGAACAATAACAAATAAACTGAAGTTAATTTCCCATACTCTTTGCTCTTGGAGTTCAATTTCAGGTTTCTAAGTGATAATACTGAGGTTCTATTTTAGTAATAAAAAGCCCATTTTCCCCTAGATGTTTCCAATTCTGTTTTTTCAATGAAATACATTCCAATTACCTTCGAGAGCTAGAAAATTACTTCTCTAAAATAACTTTATGAGAAAATCAGGCTGCTTGTTACAGAAGTCACAAATTTCCATTAAATCTACAATATCTTAATTTTTAAGAAACATTATAAAAATAAAAGCTTCCCAAAGGAAGTAAGATGTGAACATATAAAACAATCTGCTTTCCAAGGCAAACACTTGCTGGATCACACCCTCCCTCTCCCCAACTTCATTATTACTTACTCGGACACGTGTGCTTGGTTCATTTGTATTTCCCATCATATCAGAAAAGCTTTGTTCGCACAAGTGCAATAACACCACTAGGTAGAGACCAGAGCTGATAAACTCATACTCAGCCTTCAACAGGAAAGCAAACAGGAGAAAAGAAAAATACAGAGAATGAAAAATTAGTAGAATTCAGACTGATACTCACAGTACACTGATAAATTAGAGGAAATGTATTCATATCCAGTTCCTAATAAGGGATACAATGCCATTAATTAAGAAAAAAAAGACTGTCCTTTATAATTTCATAAAATTTTACTTTTTATTCTCATAGTCTTCTTTAGTGTAATGACTTTATATAAAAATGGAACTTCTAAAAAATTTGATGGTAGAATGAATGCTTTGGTTTTCTATAAAGCTCATAGATTTCATTATACAAACAGCTATAGCTATATATGTTTAGTTAATTACATTTCATCTATAGCTAAGCCAATATACTTCTATAACTAAAACCTATTGTGATAGCTCAAGTGTTTTTCTGTGTAATAAAATGAACTTAAAGGCATAGTAAATAAAATAATGAATTAATAAAGGTAAGAGAGTAACTAATCATTCACACAGAAATCTATAGTTGGTAAAAACAGCTCTTTGATTCCAAACTGTTCTGTTGTGTTAAACTAAAAGGAAGAAGCTGAGACAAAATTAAAAGAGAGTTATGTCAAGGTTCAGGACTGCTGCCAGGGACACACTTCCAAGTTGCCTTGTGGAGAGTGCTCCAGAGAACAAAAGAAAGGCTCAAATTTTTAAAGAAAAGACAAATCAGGAAAGGAGAGATAACAAAAGTTGTCCACTCTGAATTCTCATTGGTTTACAGAAATAACGTTGGTTAGTGATTAGCTACACACTATTGTACTATAGGGTATATGACATTTATGGCTACTTAGCATTAGTTAGTTTACAGCCCACAAAGCAAGCGGCTTGAAGAGATATTCAAAGGAGAGTGAGATGAGAATGCTGTTACATTTTAAACACCTCTCTGGACCTGATAATTTTAAGGAGCTCACATTCCTCAGATTAAATGTCCCCCCTACCCCCTCCTGCCCCTGTTGTTTTTAAGCCATGAATACAAATCAGGAATAATATAGTATTATTAAAAATCTAATCTGTCCTTTAATTTTTACACTGAACTACTCATAAACTGAACTGGGTAACTGGTTCATCAGAATTTAAGAACTCTATGATTTTAGTACCACCTTCAGCAAGTAACTGGTTATCAGAGTCTACTGAGTATTCAAGAAATTTGAGGCCAGGCATGATGGCTCACACCTGTAATCCCAGCACTTTGGAAGGCTGAGGTGGGTGGACCACTTGAGGTCTGGAGTTCAAGACCAGTCTAGCCAACATGACAAAACCCCATCTCTACTAAAATTACAAAAATTAGCCATGGCAGGCACCTGTAACCCCAGCTACTTGGGAGCCTTAGGCAGGAGAATCACTTGAACACGGGAGGCAGAGATTGCGCCACTGCACTTCAGCCTGGGCGACAAGAGCAAACCGCCCCCGCCCCCCACACACACTTCAGCCTGGGTGACAAGAGCAAAACCACATACACACACACAGTTGAACTGCTTCACTTAATAATTTATTTTTGCCTTTGTAACTTACAAGGGAATAATATATTCACAAATTTTTTAAAAAAACTTTAAATGGGGCCAGGAGCAGTAGCTCACACCTGTAATCCCAGCACTTTGCGAGGCAGAGGCGGGTGGATCACCTGAGATAAGGAACCAGCCTGGCTAACATGGTGAAACCCCATCTCTGCTAAAAATACAAAAAATAAGCCAGGTGTGGAGGCAGTTGCCTGCAATCCAGATACTTGGAAAGCCGAGGCAGGAGAATCACTTGAACCTAGGATGCAGAGACTGTAGTGAGCTGAGATCGTGCCACTGCACTCCAGCCTGGGCAACAGCGAGGTTCCATTTCAAAAAAAAAACTTAAATGGTTATCACCTTGTAAAAGATCAAGACACTGGGTAATGAGGAAATAGACTTACTAATCACTTAAAAATGAGTGTATCTATCAGGCCACTAGAATCTATTATTCATACAGAATAAGCAAGTTAAAACCACAAAGTTTAATCAAGGCTGTCATTGTTTTTAAAATGACTCCACCTGATATTTCCTAATACTTCTAAAGAATATGAGTCATTAAAATGCTTAGAAAACAATAAAACCATTCCTGAGTTCAAAAAGGACTGGCCAAGCCTGGTGGACAAGTTCAGGCGTTCTAGACCAGTCTGACCAATATGGTGAAACCCCGCCTCTACTAATAATACAAAAATTAGCCAGGCATGGTGGCACATGCCTGTAATCCCAGCTAGTCAGGAGGCTGAGGCAGGAGAATTGCTTGAACCTGGGAGGCGGAGGATGCAGTGAGCTGAGATCACCCCACTCCACTCCAGCCTGGGCGACAGAACGAGACTTCATCACAAAAAAAAAAAAAAAAAAAGAAAAAAGAAAAGAAATAAAGAAAGAAAGAACGGCCTCTGAGAGACCAGGATGAAGCATCTCGAGAAGGAAGGCAGCAAAAGAAATAATCCTTTTGAAACCTACTCTCATTTTGAAAAATTATGTATTTATTTCTGCATGATTCCACTTTTCCATGATTCCTCCATTTTTTAAATATCAATGCTCAGCTAGCTACAAAGAACTCCTTGGGGATTTAAGACATTTCCTTGCTGAAAGTGATTTTCTTTTTTGGACAACTAGTGCAATGGAGAATAAAACAACCTAACTGGCATTAGAGTAGCACCTATGCTATATCAACTGCTTAATGTTTCAGTCTTTAGATTAGTGATTCTTAATCTGGATTCAAGCAATTAGCTTCAAGGGATCTGGGAACCCCTTAAATTATAGAAATAATTTGTGTCTATATATTTTTAAAGAAGGGTACATTGTTTTAATCAGATTTTCAAAGGGTATCCATTATTCCCATATTTAAAAAACGCGGTTCAGAAAATATCATATTAATGTATGATTCTATTTGTATGAAATTATCCAGGGTAAGTAAATCTACAAAACAACACAGACTGGTAGTTGCCAGGGGCTGAGAGGACAGAATGGGGAGCAACTGTTTAATGGGTAGATGGTTTTCTTTTGGAGTGATAAAAATGTTGAACTAAACAGAGATGGCGGCTGTACAAAATGGTTTTCATGTTTTATAAATCTCATTCAATATAATAAAAAAGAGTAGGCCCATTACCCCTACATTTAAAAAGTGTTTTTTGTTTTGTGGAGACAGGGTCTTGCTATGTTGCCGAGGCTGGTCTCAAACTCCTGACCTCAAACAATCATCCTGTTTTAGCCTCCCAAAGTGCTCAGGATAGGAGTGAGCCACTGTACCTGGTCAAAGTGTTTTTCAAGCACTTCATGCATTCCATCATATCTTTTTTTCAACAAATATGCTAACTACACTTCAATAATTTGGCTCTAGAGTCACCCTTATCTCCATAAACACACATCTGCCCACCTCCTAAATTTTCCTTCAGTAAAGAAAACGGGGGAAAATATTGAGCTCTTCATTCTAACTGTATCATTCATGCATCTCAAAAAACTTATGGCTGTGGGGAAATCAGGTTGGCATCCCTATTTTGGAACAACTTTCCTAAGCTTAAGGGAAAAAAAATTATGAAATTCTAACACCTAATGAAGTAATAGAATTATGTTAAGAACATTATCATTGTTATTATTATTTTAATGCAAGGTTTCTGACCATGATTTAATCTTTTCTTCAAGAGCTGTCCTTGAAGCATAGAATAGACACTTACCAAATTAGGCAAAATATACTAACTTGTTCATTTGCATGAGCTCTATGTAGTTCATGGATATCAAAATCCTCCAGGTTAAGCTCCAACTTCTCTTTACATAGTTCACAGGTTGTTACAGCTTCTAATGAAGAACCTGGTGAAAATTAAATTACAAGTAAAGCTTAGTTTTACAATGTCTTCATAAAACACTTTTCCTCATCAAGTTTTAAGCTTAAAATTAAAAACAAAGGAGATTGAGACACGAAAAACCCTTCAAAAAATCAATAAATCCAAGAGCTGGTTTTTTGAAAAGATCAACAAAATAGACCACTAGCCAGATTGATTAAAAATAAAAGAGAGAACAACCAAATAGATGCAATAAAAAATGATAAAGGGGAAATCACCACAGATTCCACAGAAATTCAAACCATCATCAGAGAATATTACAAACAACTCTATGCGCATAAACTAGTAAACCTGGAAGAAATGGACAAATTCCTGGATTCCTGTGTCCTCCCAAGCCTAAACCAGGAGGAAGCTGAAACTATGAATAGACCAATAACAAGGTCTGAAGTTGAGGCAGCAATTAAGAGCCTACCACACAAAAAAAGCCCAGGTCCAGACGGGTTCACAGCCGAATTCTACCAGACACACAAGGAAGAGCTGGCACCATTTCTTCTAAAACTATTTCAAACAATCCAAAAAGAGGGAATCCTTCCCAAATCATTTTATGAGACCAACATTATTCTGATACCAAAACCCAGCAGAGACCCAACAAGAAAAGAAAACTTCAGGCCAATATCCATGATGAACATAGATGCAAAAATCTTCAATAAAATATTGGCAAGCCGACTGCAACAGCAAATCAAAAAACTTATTCATCATGATCAAGTAGGATTCATCCCGGGGATGCAAGGCTGGTTCAACATACGCAAGTCTATCAATGTAATTCACCACATAAACAGAACCAAAAACAAAAACCACATGATTATCTCAATTGACGCAGAGAAGGCATTTGACAAAATTCAACAGCCCTTTATGCTAAAAACCCTCAATAAACTCGGTATCGATGGAACGTATCTCAAAGTAATAAAAGCTATTTATGATAAACCAACAGCCAATATCATACTGAATGGGCAAAAACTGGAAGCATTCCCTTTGAAATCTGGCACTAGACAAGGATGCCCTCTTTCACCACTCCTATTCAATATAGTACTGGAAGTTCTAGCCAGAGCAATCAGGCAAGAATAAGAAATAAAGGGTATTCAAATAGGAAAGGTGGAAGCCAAATTGTCTCTATTTGCAGACGACATGATAGTATACCTAGAAGACCCCATTGCCTCAGCCCAAAAACTCCTGAAACTGATAAGCAACTTCAGCAAAGTCTCAGGATATAAAATCAATGTGCAAAAATCACAAGCATTCGTCTACACCAATAACAGACTTAAAGAAAGCCAAATCAAGAGCGAACTGCCATTCGCAATTGCTACAAAAAGAATAAAATACCTTGGAATACAACTCACAAGGAACGTAAGAGACCTCTTCAAGGAGAACTACAAACCACTGCTTAACGAAATCAGAGAGGACACAAACAGATGGAGAAACATTCCATGTTCATGGTTAGGAAGAATTAATATCGTGAAAATGGCTATACTGCCCAAAGTAATTTACAGAATCAATGCCATCCCCATCAAGCTACCATCGACTTTTTTCACAGAACTGGAAAAAACCACCATGAACTTCATATGGAACCAAAAGAGAGCCCGCATAGCCAAGTCAATTCTAAGCAAAAAGAACACAGCGGGGGGCATCACACTACCGGATTTCAAACTATACTACAAGGCTACAGTAATCAAAACAGCATGGTACTGGTACCAAAACAGAGATATAGACCAATGGAGCAAAACAGAGGCACCGGAGGCAACACAACATACATACAACTATATAATCTTTGATAAACCTGACAAAAACAAGCAATGGGGAAAGGATTCCATGTTTAACAAATGGTGTTGGGAAAACTGGCTAGCCATGTGCAGAAAGCAGAAACTGGACCCCTTCCTGACACCTTACACTAAAATTAACTCCAGATGGATTAAAGACTTAAACATAAGACCTGGCACCATAAAAACCCTAGAAGAAAATCTAGGCAAAACTATCCAGGACATAGGAGTAGGCAAGGACTTCATGACCAAAACACCAAAAGCATTGGCAGCAAAAGCCAAAATAGACAAATGGGACCTAATCAAACTCCACAGCTTCTGCACGGCAAAAGAAACAGTCACTAGAGTGGATTGGCAACCAACAGAATGGGAAAAAATTTTTGCAGTTTACCCATCTGACAAAGGGCTGATATCCAGAATTTACAAAGAACTCAAACAGATTTACAGGAAAAAAAAAAACAAGCCCATTCAAAAGTGGGCAAAGGATATGAACAGATACTTTACGAAAGAAGACATACATGAGGCCAACAATCATATGAAAAAATGCTCATCGTCACTGATCATCAGAGAGATGCAAATCAAAACCACATTGAGATACCATCTCACGCCAGTTAGAATGGCGATCATTAAAAAATCTGGAGACAACAGATGCTGGAGAGGATGTGGAGAAAAAGGAACACTTTTACACTGTTGGTGGGAGTGTAAATTAGTTCAACCATTGTGGAAGACGGTGTGGCTATTCCTCAAGGCCTTAGAAATAGAAATTCCATTTGACCCAGCAATCCCATTACTGGGTATATATCCAAAAGACTATAAATCGTTCTACTATAAGGTCACATGTACACGAATGTTCATTGCAGCACTGTTTACAATAGCAAAGACCTGGAATCAACCCAAATGCCCATTGATAATAGACTGGATTGGAAAAATGTGGCACATATACACCACGGAATATTATGCAGCAATCAGAAATGATGAGTTTGTGTCGTTTGTAGGGACATGGATGAATCTGGAGAACATCATCCTCAGCAAACTGACACAAGAACAGAAAATGAAACACCGCATATTCTCACTCATAGGTGGGTGATGAAAAATGAGAACACATGGACACAGAAAGGGGAGTACTAAACACTGGGGTCTATTGGGGGGAAAAGGGGAGGGCCAGTGGGAGGGGGAGGTGGGGAGGGATAGCCTGGGGAGAAATGCCAAATGTGGGTGAAGGGGAGAAGAAAAGAAAGCACACTGCCATGTGTGTACCTGCGCAACTGTCTTGCATGCTCTGCTCATGTACCCCAAAACCTATAATCCAATAAAAAATTAAAAAAAAAAAAAAAAAAAAGAAAATGTCCTTATAGTAACTTCTCTGCCTATAAGGAAATATTAATAAATATAGACATATTCTACCTAAAAAAAATAAAAAAATAAAAAAAATAAAAACATAAAAACCTTAATGGAAAGGAGAAGAAAAGGAAATACATTTCTGCAGTAAACCAGTAATGTCCCCTAACACAGCAGTCTATAATATCCAATGTTCACATCAGGTCCTGCCCTATGATAATAAGCCACCACCCATTATTTAGATACCTTGGTTGTTTTCTTCCCAGATAATCATACATCCTTCATCACAGGAAGCTGACAGAAGCAATGGAATGTCATCTGTACTTCCTACTTCCTCCTTAAGTATTTTGGCATGATGGCATGAAAACAATGTTTAGTGACGCAACATCTAAAACACCTAGTTACACACCAAGCCAGTATCTTTGATGTGACAACACACACCTAAGACCTTTTGGAGTTTAAAAAATGTGTCTGTCTTACTTGCTAGAATGGAAAAAAGGAGCCAACTTTGTCCAAATAAAAAGAGCTCCCTTCAGTCATAAAAGGAATTAGTCTTGTTATATGCTGCAACATGATGAACTTCAAAAACATTATACTACATGAAATAAGATAGATATGAAAGAATAAATATTTTATGATTCTACTTACATAAAATATCTAGAATATGCAAATTCAGAGAGACAGAAAGTAGATGAGACATTAGCAGGGATTTGGTGGAGAAGGGAGCAGGAAGTGAGGAGTTACTGCTTAATGGTTAGAATTTCTGTCTGGAATGATAGACAATTTTGGAAATAGGGGTGATGGTTGCACAACACTGTGAATGGACCAAACTGTGTACTTAAAAATGGTCAAAATGGCTTATTTTATGCTACTTATGTTTGTTTGACCAAAAACTTTTTTAAATAGAAAACTTCCATATCGATTCAACATTTGATTATTCTGAAGCTTTTTGGTTCCAATTTGGTAGGCAGTAGTCTTGTATAATTAAATATGTAGGTTCTTTCTACCTTTTCCTTTGTTTATATTTAGATAGGGTTTCAAATGGAAAAATGACCTTAAAATTAGAGTCAGTTGTACACATATCAGGGTAGATAGGTTTAAATTCAATTCAACTAACATTTGTTGAGTGATTGTTATGTGCAAGCAGTTAATTAGATTTTGGAAATTCAAAAAAGAAAGAGTAGAAGGTCCTGCCTTCAAGGAACTCATAAAACTCTACTAACTAGTGTTAGTCAAATAAGAATTTTTTAGGAGTAAAATTTGGCATACGGTCCAAGATAGCAGTATTTTCTAGAAAACAGCTGAAAGTGAGTCTAATCTGAAGAAGTAAGCTGTCTCAAAATGAGCTGTTGTAAAATTACATTGAGTTTTCACTACATTTTGAGTATATGAATAAAACCCAGCTTCTTTTTAAGAGTCTAGCATACATGAAAATGTAATATGGACCTTGGAGATAATTTAATACAGATTCTTATATCTTGGTGCTTCATTTTCTTCCTCCAGGGAATAAAAGACTTCCACATAGCTGGGAGCAACCCATTTATTCCTATGTTTTTGCTGGAGACGATCTCACTCTGCTGCCCAGCCTGGAGTGCAGTGGCAGATCATGGCTCGTTGCAGCCTCTAACTCCTGGGCTCAAGCGATTCTCTTGTCTTGTCCTGTTGGATTACAAGTGTCACCCACCAATCAGCCTACTCCTGTATATCTTAATCAGGGCTCTCTCCATTACACTCTGACTGTACCTGCCTAAACCTGTACTAGATTTATTGTATTCATCTTTGTACATCCTGTAGACTTTAGCAATCCAAATTTAGTAGCTTCTTAATAAATGTTTAAATAAGTCTCTACCAGAATGATGGGGTATTTGTGCAGCTATAAAAAATACTTCTGAATAATTATCAGGAAAGTTTAGTTGCTGAGACCTATACATTCAATTGGCCATAGTTTGAAAAGCATTTATTATAACCTTATAAAACTAACTTGAGGCCAGGTATGGTGGCTCACGCCTGTAATCCCAAAACTACGGGAGGCTGCCGAGGTGGGCGGATCACTTGAGATTAGGAGTTCGAGACCAGCCTGGCCAACATGATGAAATCCCATCTCTACTAAAAATACAAAAAATTAGCCAGGGAGACCACTGAGGAGGGCAGACCACTTGAGGCCAGGACTTTGAGATCAGCCTGGCCAATATGACGAAACCCCACCTCTACTAAAAATACGAAAAACTAGCCAGCCATGGTGGTGTGCGCCTGTAGTCCCAGCTACTCAGGAGGCTGAGGCAGGAGAATCCCTTGAACCCAGGAGGCAGAGGTTGCAGTAAGCCAAGATTGTGCCAGTGCACTCCAGCCTCGAGACAGAACAAGACTCTGTTTCAAAAACAAAAACAAACTCTGATTTAATTTAATCATGTACTTACCATGTGCCTGGTACACTGGAAACTATAAACATTAACTATTTTGACATTCATTAACAACTTTATGAGGTATTACTCAATTTTACTCATAAGGGAACTGAGGCTCAACCCCAGTCCTACTTAAGAATCTTTGAGTGTGGATCTGAATCATCTGTATTTTTTGTGTTTTGAGACAGAGTGTCACTGTTGTCACCCAGGCTGGAGTGCAATGGGGCAGTCTTGGCTCACTGCAACCTCTGCCTCCTGGGTTCAAGCGATTCTCTTGCCTCAGCTTCCTGGGTAGCTAGGATACAAAGCACCACTACACCCAGCTAATTTTTGTATTTTTAGTAGAGGTGAGGTTTCACCATGTTGGCCAGGCTAGTCTCAAACTCCTGACTTCAGGTGATCCACCCACCTTGGCCTCCCATAGTGCTGAGATTACAGGAGTGAGTCACTGCGCCCAGCCCATCTGTATTTTTAAAAACTCCAGTGAGTGATTTTGATCAGCAGCCAGGGTTGAGAACCAATGTTAAGAAACATGCTCAAGACCCTATAGCTAGCTGAGTGTTCAAGTAAATGTTCCAAACTAGGCTTGTCTAACTTCAAAAAGCCAATGTTCTTAAACGATAAACTGTATTATCTGTTTTCCTCCATATCTAGCACTAATAATCAGTTGTCTGTATCAGAAGTTAAGTCAAGTTGTTGTTCTTCATTTTGGTAATAGCTAATATTTCTGGGTCCTTAAGTATCAAAATGAAAAGCATGTTAAGTGTAATCTCTCATTTAGTCCTAACACCTGACCAACAAAGCCTGTGAGTTACTGTAACACCACACAGATCAGAGAAAAGGCAGCTCCAGATGAGACAGCTTGTTTGTTCAGCGCCTTGGGCTTAGACTAGCTTAGAAGAAAAGATACTGCTTGCGCCTCTTGTGCCCACCAAGGGGGCTACTGCTCACCACTTGACTATCACATTACTAGGAGCCTCAGGAATTTTCCCAGTATCCCCGTAATATCCAACTTGAACCCAACTCCTCCAACAGATTATGAAAATCAGTGCCATCATACCTCACAACGTATTTGCCTGTCACCATGCTATAATGATCAGACCTTTAATCTCACACAATTATGTACATTTATTAATCTGATCTAATTTTCTACCTTACTAGTAGTCTCTATGTCCTCTCTTGTACTCATGGTCTAATACCAGTAAATTCCTCTAATCACCAACCTTTCTTTTTTGAACTTTTTACTTTCATGTCTGAACCACAATGCCACCTGACTAATAATACCTATATGTATGTTTCTATAGCCATTTTATCTCCACAGTCCTTTGTAACTCAGGACCAAGAAGTGAGGGTAGTTGCCCACCCAACATACCCATTACTGTTTTCAAATCCTAATTCCCCTAATTCATTAATGACTTTAGCACCTGGCTCTCTACTTTCTTTGCCAACTAAATTCTTGGCTTTTTCAACACCCAAGACCGGTCCCATTGGATTATAACTTTCTCAACATCTTTGCTTCCAATATTATACCCTTTCCAACCTCAGTCACCCACACTAAGTTGATCCCGCTTGATTTTGTCACAACTTACTGTACTACCCCTAAATCTCTATTTTAAGTATCCCCTCCTCCTGTATACCAATTCTTATTATTTTAGCCTACTTAGCTCAGTGTCAATAAAATTCAAAGATACTCTACACTTTCTCATTATACACTTTGTGATGTCCTTATTTTCCTTCTGATTTTAATTTATATGATTGCCACAATTATGTCCTTATACATACCCTTAACTCCCTTCATCATCATATCTGCCTGGCAAAAGACCCACCAGCATTGAACTCTAGTCCATACCTGTATCCCAAACAACTGATAACAGCTTAAAAAAAATTGAATGTATACCTAATTTTAAATTCACTTTTACAGACACTAATACAATCTGGAAATCCTATGACATATCCACATCCTTAGAATGTTATTTTTCTCATACCTCAAAAACCTTCTAACCTGCCTCCTAATATGTGAAAGGCCTTACCTAAGGAAACAGATGCAATTAACGCAGGAAGTCATAAATCTTCCCATTAAAGCAACAAACTGATCAACACCCATATCAACACCAGCCTTCTGAAGAGAATATATCCTTTCTCCTATTAAGGGATAACCACTCAACCTGTGCTCTGGATCCCATCTTCTTTCTCCTCTTTTCGTATTTTTTTTTTTTTCTGTTTGAAGTCTCAAAATAAAAACATGCCTAAAAATCTCCTACCTCAAAATTAAACAAAAACACTTCCTGTGATCCCATATAACTCTAATTCCTGTTCCCTATAGTCTCCTTGGTAGTAAATTTGTTCAAAGTGTCAAATCTGTGTTGCTGTCTCTCCTTTCTTACCTCCTTTACTCTTCTCAATCTAATCTAATAAGGTTTAGGAACCCACGATTCCAGAGACTGAAACCACCAAGAACACCCATGCTATCAAATCCAATTATTCTTTCTTCTCCTCTTACTTGACCTCTCACAAGTGCAGGGTTGATCACATACTCCTTAAAGCATTCTTCTTTTGGCTTGCACAACACATTTTCGTGGTTTTCTTCCTTTCTGACTAAAGGCTGCTCCTTAAATCTCCTCTGTTCTCACTAAATGTTAGTGTCCCAGGGCTCTGTCCTGGGCCTATTTTTTTGCTATCTGCTCTTCCTCTAGCTGACCAACACCTCAAACGTTACTCACGTGCTCATAACTGAAACTAATTAGTGTTTCCCCTGAAATGCCAGGCTTGTATAGCTAACTGCCTACATCATATTTCTATATGGTTATCTAATAAGTAGTTCAAATATAATGTCCAAAACAAAAGTGTTAGTCCCCTTTTCAGCTTCCTATTTCAGTAAAAGGAACTGTCATTCACTTAACTGCTCAGCAAAAATATAAGCTTCCCTAATAGTTCTTTCTCCTTCATTCCATCACATCCAATCTACTGAATTGGATGTCTTACAGAATCTACCCACAAAATATATCAGAATCTATCCATTTCTATCATCACGATCACCACTGCTACACTTTCATCATCACCAACTCTAACAAGTGTTCCAATAATAGACTCCTGTTTGGTCTCCCTGTATTACTCTCTATCCTCCATTCTCTACAGAGCAGCCAAATATGAGTGACCATTTCATCCCCTTTCCCTTTAGTAGCTTCCCATCATACTTAAATCTAAGGTTTGAGCCTCTGCTTTAAGTCTTGCATGAGCTAACCTCTGCTAATCTTTCTCATCTCAGCTTTATTCTCTCCCCGACTAATTATACACCAGCCACACTATGCATAATTCAGCTCCTCAAAAACATAAAGTTGATTTCCACCTTAAAGTATTTGAACTTGCTGTTCCCTATGCTAGAGTGCTCTCCCCTAATTATGGAATAGCTCAGCTCTCTATTTACATGTTCTCACCTCAGAAAGGCATTTCCTTAACATCCAATACCAATACAAGAAGCAAGTGCCTTGTCTTTTTACCATCCTATAACTAATGTCTAAGAACTACTGTGCCTGGCTCTATTACAGGCACTCAATGAACAAATAAATCCCCACAGGAGCCTTATTATTGTAATTTGCTAAGTGACACAACAGCAACATTAGAAATAAATCTTTCTCAAGAACACAGTTGGTAAATGGGGAGTCTATTTCCTTGATTCAAAAGGATCTTACATGATATAAGGGACATACCAGTGATCACAAATTACAGCTGTATTATACATGTTATTAAGTAGTAAATGGTTGGGAAATGAAATACACATTACTAAAAATTTATAAAGAAATACTAATGCTCTTTAATGCTTCTGCTAAGACTTCAAAAATGATTAAGACACTTGTTAAAAGTCTAAATTCAATAATCTATAAATTATAAATTTGTTAACCAAAAGGCATACATACGTGCATCTCTTAGAAAAATTGTGAAAACACAAAAGGGTAAATCTTACCAGAGTTAATTTTGGCCTGTAACCACTTTTTCATACATTCTTGGTGGACATACTGCAAACTTCCTGTGCACTTGCATGGCTCTATCAGCAAATTAGATGATGATGCAGCTGCCATTTGACAAATTCTACATAAGTCACCTTCTTCTTCTTCTGAGTCCTCTAAAAGGAGGCTGGAAAAGAAGGCACATTTCCCAAATCAATCATAACTCATCCTGGTTGGTTACTTAAGTCACACATAATCACAAGCTCTCTTTTTTGATATTTCTACCCACACTGTCTCTGGGTGGAAAAAGCAAACAGTAACATCAGTGAAACAATAACAATTATTATTAATCAGCAACCCTCTGACTGAAAATGAAAAATCCTCTCACTGAGAATAAAAACTGTAACAAGCATTTTATGAGCTTCCATAATAGTTCTTTCTCCTTCATTCCATCACATCACAAAAATTACTTAAATTTGAAAATACATGATAGGTTAACCTATCATTGGCAGACAGTTTAAGACCTATATTTTTCTCAATGACTTTATAAGTACCCCTAAAAGATTTTAATTTCTGAGGTATTTCAGACTACTTCAAGTCCAACAGTATAAAGATAAGATAAACTTACCACTTTTGCCCCTTGCCTCCCCTCAAATTTTAGGGCTGTTTCCATGAATTAAACACATACTGGCCTGTAGATTCTCATTTACGTTATCAGAATGACATTTAAACTGACTTGTATACCACAAAAAAAATTAAGAAGTATGTTAAAATTCTCCATCCCTCCCCCATTTCCTGCAGAAATCTTATAACAGTTTCCATTAACCTATGTCCTCTATTTAACAGGCCATTGTGTAATATAAATGCAGAGTAATAGTTCTATAAAATAATAATGGTTAAAATTCCTACTGCGTTATTCTACTGTTGGCATGAAACATGTCCTCAGTAAATTTGTAAAACAGAATGCTGAACTGTTACTGAAATACAATCTGGAATATATGGATTCCTAAATGAACTTATCAAAAGATCTGTGGAAAGAGATGGATATACAACTGCTAGGAGACTTTCATGCCCTGTCTTAATCAGATATGACCTCAAGCATGAATTATTTTTAAAGACTGAAAACAGTATTTACATTTGACCTTTAAATTTAACGTTCTTCCCTTGAGTTTCAATTATTGACTTGGTGGATTCAATTTTTCTGTACCATTTTTAACTTAATTGTGTAATGTCTTAAAATCCTTAGGTATGAGGAAAGATATAATACAGGAATACAAACATATACACAACACACAGTCTCTCTCTGGCAAAATAACCAACAAATGGTGCTTTTTAAACTAATCAGAGTGGTGCCGACTCAATCATTTCTTTCTGAAGATAACTAAACTACTAACACTTTGCCCTCTGCCTACACTATTGTACTCAAATTAACCTAACCTTGAGGGCTGAAAATATATTACTACATTCCTTAGCAGACAGCAGACAGCTGGCAAATAGAGGAAGCTGCTATCATAGGCAAACATTAAAGCAAACACTACCAGAGTAGAGTAAGCCTTTCTACAAAAAAGGAAAAATGGCAAGTTTAAAAGCAGGAAAGTAACAGTCACATAGGATAAAATCTATCCTATAAAATGAGAAATAGAAGTATGGTAGCCCAAAGTATTTTCTTATTAAAGTACAAAAAAATCTAAAAATAACAGTAACAACTATGCTTCCTAACAGTTCTATTAGGCTTTGTGATAAAGAAAAAAAAATACCACAATATTAACGTTATATGGCTTTTCCTCGAAGTGTATTTCAAATAAACTACTTTATCTCATTGTATTTTAATGTTAAGTAATTAGACTAGGATGACTAAATTAATAGTCAGGCTGGGAGTAAGATCTCTGCTTTTTTGTCTTTTCACTCTAACCAGTAATTTATAAGCAACCTTTAACTCTATATAAAGATTTATTTGTATGAGTAAGAGTTTCATTCTGTCTCTAGGCTGGAGTGCAGTGGTGCAACCTCAGCTCACTACAACCTCCACCTCCCAGGGTCAAAAGATTCTACTGCCTCAAGCTTCCTGAATAGCTGGGACTACAAGTGCACGTCACCATGCCCAGTTAATCTTTGTATTTTTAACAGAAATGGAGTTTGACTATGTTGGCCAGGATGGTCTCAATCTCCTGACCTCCTGATCCACCTGCCTCAGCCTCCTAAATTAGTCTGGAGATTACAGGCACGAGCCACTGTGCCTGGCCTACACTGGTATTTCTGTTAAATAATTCTAATATGTAAATAACTGCGTAAGTATGATGGCTCATGCCTGCAATCTCAGCACTTTTGGAGGTTGAAGCACAAGGATGGCTTGAAGCCAGGAATCTGGGACCAGCCTGGGAAGCAAAGCAAGACCCGTCTCTACAAAATATTTAAAAAGAATATTCAGTATATACTTGGACTTCAAATACAAAATAAAGATTATTTTGTGCATCAAATTCCAAATAAATATTAATATATCATCTTAGTAACAGCTAAGACAGATTTACTGGTAATCTGTTCCACTTACCTACCCCATTTAGCATTAGTCTACCAAAAAATTAAGTAAGAGATTAAGATTTTTGTCTTTCTGTATATATGTACTCCAACCTGGTTAAAATAAAATAAACTTTAGATTACTTTCTGACGTAATTCACATCCCCCATTGCCTATCCGAAATTATTAATTCTTATCTGTTTACCTACGAGTGAGCCATTAACACCTTAATGAATGTAAATGTTAAGGGAAGAAATTTCATGCTGGGCCTGGTGGCTCACCCCTGTAACCCTAACACTTTGGGAGGTGGAGGCAGGTGGATCACTTAAGGTTAGGAGATTGAGACTAGCCCGGCCAATGTGGTGAAATCCAGCCTCTATTAAAAATACAAAAATTAATTGGGGTGGTAGCGGCCGCCTGTAATCCAAACTATTTGGGAGGCTGAAGCAGGAGAATTGCTTGAACCAGGGAGGCAGAGGTTGCCGTGAGCCAAGATTGTGCCACTGCACTCCAGCCTGGGCAACGGAGTATGACTCCATCTCAAAATAAAAAATAAAAAAAGTAAAAAATAAACTTCAGATATCAATTTTATAAGAAGCCAATTTAGAAATGAAGAGTTCTGGGCCGAGCGCCGTGGCTTATGCCTGTAATCTCAGCACTCTGGGAAGCTGGGGCATGTGGATCACCTAAGGCCAAGAGTTCAAGACCAGCCTGACCAATATGGTGAAACCCTATCTCTACCAAAAATACAAAAATTAGTCAGGTGGTGGTGGCGTGTGCCTGTAGACACAACTACTCCAGAGGCTGAGACGGAATTGCTTGAACCCAGGAAGTGGACATTGCAGTGAGCCAAGATCACGCCACTGCACTCCAGCCCAGGCAACAAAGCAAGACTCCATCTCAAAAAAAAAAAAAAAGAGTTCTTTCTCTAATATATTCTTGCTTTATACGCTTAAGACAGGCATTCAAATTTACCTCTCTTTTATTTTCTGCAATCTTTCTGGATCTCTTGAAGGTGCATTTTTAGTTTTATCACTTTTACCATCAGCTGAATTCCAACCTGAAGGAATAATATCTACAGTGATCATGACATTGTCGGTCAAATTACTCCCAAGTGCTGGGGGGACTGCAAACCGGAATAAGGAACCAGGAAGAATCCCTGCTATTCCTGTATTTCTTCCACCTTGAGCCGAATCTGATGTAGAGCCACCTGCTGTGGCACTGCTTGATGCTGCAGATGCTTGTGGTCTGTTGACAGCAGCTCCAAGAGGATTATTCTGTGTTTCAAGGTGAACCACTTCATTTGATTCTCTTCTAAAAATATGAGCTCTAGATGGTGTATCAGAGGTAGGTATCCTTGAAGATTCATCTCTTCCCTCTCGCCTCCTTCTAGAGAACAAAGGTGTGCATCTATTTCTAAGTGAGGAAGATAACCATGGTCCTGTATTTCTGCCTTCAGATTCTTGATTAAAATTTTCTGAATCTGACTCAGAGCTATGATTGTGGCTAAGAGATGACAAACCCCATCTTCGCCTAAGAAATCGAAATCCCTGAGAAGCTTCAGATGCCCTATTATCGGGAACTTCAGAAGTCGATGGTACGTTACTACGGGACTGTGAAGCTGTCAAGATTCTTGGAGAAACATAAGAATTTTCAGAACTCAATGATCTTGTATTCAAAGAATCCTGACTAGATCTTCGTGAAAAAAAAGTAGATGACATGCTAGAAGCTATACGTGACAGCAATCTCCTGGTTGTCCGCCTACCTTCATTGTCAGAAGATTCTTGAAATGGTCTTTGAGATGAAACAACCCTTTCTGAATTGCTTATGATTGGGGTTTCATCTCTACTTGAAATATACGAAAATCCCGGTTGTGTATTGCTTCGGGAAGATTCTGATTCTCTTGAAGAAAAATTTGATCTTAAGGAATTTCTGGAGTCCCTAGAACTTAGTATGGTCTGATGTTCAGAAGGCAATTGGTGGTTTGTGGATGATGTATTCAACTGTAAAGTGCTCACTGAGTTTTCTTTTGGTCTTGCTCCTTGTGAATATGAAGCAACTCGGTCTTGAACATCTATTTTTGAAAGAAAGTAAAGATAACCAATTACATGAAATAATTGGAGCATTATTATTTGCATTTATTTACTATGTTGAGTGACAAACAAAGCACTGGATTCAAACTGAATACTGTCATATTGTAACTAGAGAGTTTACTATTATTATAGAAAAAACATAAACATATTTCTCTTTCTATTCTTACTAGTAAAATCCAGTAGTGCTGTGTAGAGTCAACATTACAAATATATATAAGAAAAATGTATTATGAGCTTATGAAAAGCAAACATTACTTGATAAAATTAAAACAGCTGAACTCATTGATCAGAAATTATTTGATATGATAGAATAATATCTAGTATTTAAGTTGAGACAATTTTAAACAGGCCAAATAATACAATGTAAATGACTCTTAAAATGACTAAAAGCAAAATCATCCTAGGGAGACTGTTTTGGAGATTTTTTTTACTCTGTGCAATAAATTAAAAAGTTGTTTTAAACCCTTGTAATTTTATGATAAGTCTTGCTAATAGCTAAAAATTTTTCCAATTTTTTCTTTCTTTCAGGTTAATAGCAGTAGTTTTTACCCCTGGCTACTCATCAGAAATACATTTGCTTTTAAATATTGGCAAGGAACTATGAATCAGAATAGGGCTGTGACATCTGCACTTTTGAAAGGATTCCTTAAGTGGTGGTTTAAATCTACAAATAAGATTAGAAACGCCATAGGATTCCTTTGCAAAGTAACTACCCCATATACCTTGTGTAAGAGCTAAATTAATACTATGCTAATACATGAAGCTTTATGAAAGGGTAAATGTTAGGAACTAAATCTGTTTCTATCCTGTACTTTTATACACCCAAACCTAGAAGCTATCGATACTGTCTACTAAAGTTCTACCATCCAAAGCCAAGGAAGTAAAATGTTATCATTTGTTATAGAGCAAAGTTTTGTCCCAATAAGATAAATTAAGATAGCCTAGACTTTTTTTTTTTTTTCTTTTTAGATAGAGTCTCGCTCTGTTGCTAGGTTGGAGCGCAGAGGCAAGATCTCTGCTCACCACAACCTCTTCTGACTCCCGGATTCAAGTGATTCCCCTGCCTCAGCCACTGAAGTAGCTGGGACTACAGGCACACACCACCATGCCCGGCTAACTTTGTATTTTTAGTAGAGACAGGGTTTCATCATGTTGGCCAGGCTGGTCTCAATCTCCTAACCTTATGATCCACCCACCTCGGCTTCTCAAAGTGCTAGGATTACAAGCGTGGGCCACGAAGCCCGGCCAAATGAACCTTTAAAAACAAAACATCATTTTCCTACTACGTAAATCAAGCTCCATTTCTGCCTACTGTATTTGTCAACTTCAATTAGCAGCACCTTTTTTCTTCAGTTACTTAGTATGATAATTTAAGGCTATGTACAATGATACAAAGTGTAGTTATGTGCAGGGCTCATGCCTGTAATCCCAACACTTTAGGAGGCCGAGGTGGGCGGATCACCTGAGATCAGGAGTTCAAGATCAGTCTGACCAACATGGTGAAACCCTGACTCTATTAAAAATACAAAATAGGTGGGCATGGTGGCATATGCCTATAATCTCAGCTACTTGAGAAGCTGACGCAGAAGAATCGCTTGAATCTGGAAGGGGAGGTTGCAGTGAGCCGAGATCGTGCCATTGCACTCCAGCCTGGACAACAAGAACAAAACTGCCTCAAAACAAACAAACAAACACACAAACAAACAAACAAAAAAAACAAAGTGTGGGTCTTGAGGTCAATTTAATAAAACTAGAGGCACATTCATGTTATACTGAATTAATTCCAAATTATGCCTTAAAATGGTGATTTCAACTTTTAGTTATTTCAGATTAAGAAGTAGTTATTTATTAAACTACATGATATAGGCAAATTATATTTGAGGATTTAAGATTTAGTATGTTACTTTGTAACACAGACATTCATATAAGGAAGAATGTAGGCAAACAATGTAAAGGTAGATGGAATCTAGATAGTCATATTCATCTGCTGTACTTCAAATTATTTATTTTTTAAGGTCAAAGTAAGTAAAATACTAGAAAAAATATTAAGGTATTCTGAAATCTTCATAAGATAAAACATATACTTTATTCATTTGTATTGTTGTTTTAATAATAAGAGAAAAATGGAACATTATGAAATAAGCTATACTTAATGTAATTTATACATACATGATGAAGTTGTGAAATCACCACTTCGGTGACTATAATCCATAAGATTACTAATAGAGGAATCTGTTCTTCTCTCCAAATCTCTCCTCTCTCTCATTAAGTCTGTTCCAAATGATCCAAGTACCACTGATGAAGATCTAGGAACTTGATTATGCCTCCAAGATGAATCTTAAAATAAATTAAGTTTTATTTCAGAGAAAGCTTTCACGGCCTTGAATGATTAAAAAATCTTCAGTAATACAGAGGAAGGTTACTATTATTTATGATCCTTTTGTCTCAGCCTTCCGAGTAGCTGGGACTACAGGCGCACACCACCACACCCAGCTAATTTTTGTAAATTTAGTGGACACAGGGTTTCACCCTGTTGGCCAGGCTGGTCTCAAACTCCTGACCTCCAGTGATCCGCCCATCCTGGTGTCCCAAAGTGCTGGGCCAATGCACCCCTACTTTACTGTTATTTATTACGAGAATCCCCTATTATGTAGTTATCAGAAACAAAATTCAGTAAAACATAAAATTATTCACAAATGAACTAATCACTTAAAAAATTATTTCCTACTCCAGTCTTCTCTGCCTAACACTAAAATCTACCCCCATATATGATGTCAATGCCTTAGTCGCTTCCCACATCTACCTATACATTAAGTAAAACAATTACAGAACAAAAATGTAAATCTTTCCAAAAATAGAGAATTTCATAAAAAGTCAATGAAAGTGATGCTGGAGAACTGCCAATATCAAAATTAAAGCCATCTGGAAAGGGAAATGTCAACAATACAGTTTTATCAGAATTATTTTTACTGCTATCACAGTTGGTTAATTCTCTATTCTAGAATTCTTTATTCTAAGAATTATTGTTATAGTTATCAAAATTTTATTAGATATGATTTCATTTAAAAGTAAAAATTCTCAACCTCTTTCCTTCACTATTTACCTTGATATTTGATTCTTCCTTCCCTAATCCTAGTAGCCTTAATAATTCCTCTTTATTAAGAGAACGGCCCAGTGTATTTATGTTTTCACATAGCAGAAGAGAACAAAAATATCTCTGGCACAGTAGTGTTTTTCTACAAAGTTACTGTCAGTCTGTGCTTAGCCATCACGACATTCTTAATATCCTTCAGATGGGCACTGTCTTTCCCATGGCAGTCCAGCTTATCAAAACAGACAGGAATTGCTTACACCACTTCAACTGGCAATACATAAACATTTAAAGAATTTTACCTCCAATTGTGTCATCATAAGTTTTGACTCCTCTTGAACACTGGCACTAGCTAATATTTCATTTGAAGAGGAGTATGAGTAGGACGGTAGCCTCCTGACCCTTCAACAAAAGATCTTTTCAATGTGTGTGAAAAAAATGTGTCTCCGAGTATAATACCAGGCATGCAGCTTTATGGATAGACCATCCAAATCCCAGAGTGGTTAGGACCTCGCCCAGCGCCACACATCTAGAGGACTAAAACTGTGACTTTCTAATTCCTTGTATAGAACTCCTACTAAAATACCACCATTTTTTTCTAACTCAAGAGTTTCCGTATTTTTCGTTTGTTTGTTTAAGAGGCAGTCTTGCTCTATCTACCAGGCTAGAGTGCACTGGCATGATCATAGCTCAATGTAACCTCAAACTGCTGGGACCAAGCAATCCTCCAGCCCCAGCCTCCGAAGTGGCTGGGGACTACAGGCATGCATCACCATGCCCAGCTAATTCTTTATTTTTTTGGTAGAAACAGGGTCTCACTATGTCGTCTAGGCCGGCCTCAAGCGATCATTCTGCCTTAGCCTCTCAAAGTGCTGGGACTACAGGTGTGAGCCACCATGACCAGGAGAGTTTCCATATTTTCTGAAAATATTACATGCTACAATGTTTATCATTTACATAAGACATGCTTAAGCAATATTTTAAACACATATCAGTAGATTTAGCTTTCCTTATAACAATATAATAACCAAAAGAATATACACATTTACCAATTTGATTACCATGTAACACCAGCTATTCTAATTAAAATCTACTAATATCCTGTTTATGTAGGATATCTATATCAAATACACAAGAACAAATGCAGAATAGTTAATATCAGTTGTAGCACTAATTTAAAGTAAGATTTTGGAAATTCCACTACATTTCTGAGCCACTCACTGTCTTCATATAAAATCTACTTTCTTCATTCCGAAACTAAGAACGACTGTATTATACCTGAGGGGTAAACGGGCTTAAAATACCTACAGAAACTTAATTCTTACCTGATACTGCATTTAAACCATTTCCAACATTTCTCCCAGCTGAGGTAGTACAATTTGTACAAGAAAGTTTAGGTCTTTTTGAATCATGATCCCGTTGCTGGTTCTGCGATCTTGAGCGTGCTCCCTGAGTTATCTCAGATTCACTATACCATGTAGACTGAAATGGTGATGCAGATGCTGATGCTGATGTAGACTGTAAGTTCAAAAAATTTTTTTAAACAAAAGGCTGCATTCAGTATTAAATTTAACTCACAATCCTCTAATAAATTCCCATAAACGTCAGTTTTTGACACTGATTTAAAAGGGTTTTATGCATTAAAGTAGATGAATCTTGTTAAATGTGGAAAAAATACCAACTATAGGAGAACAAATTTAGATCATGAATTTCATTTTTGATTCTTGAATGCAAGTACCCAAAGGCTTACAGACACTCACTGTTCACTAAACAATTTTCGTGACTCATGACAGATGCAGATTGTATGGCTATATCTGAGACAAAAAAATGTCTGTTAATATCAGTATATAAGTATACGTATCAGAATAAGTAATGTTAGTATATAGAAGGAAGGTTTTGGTTAGTTTTGCTATTGCCTTAAGTTCAAAATCAAACCTTTTCCTGGTTCCTACAATCCAATTTTGTCCCTTTTTGTTCAAATATCCTCAGTCCGAAACAGTTAGTTTTTTTCCCTCTGAATTCTTTGAACAATTCAAGAAAGTGTTAGATTCATTTAACAATATACTATCTCTTCTGTTGCCTAGAATTATAGGCCAAATGAAATCAGGGAGTAAGTCTATCTGTCTTCAGATATACTACCTTGGGCATAACGAATTGCTTAAACAAGTAATTTTGGGGTTGTTTTTGCTTTTTGGCTATTATAAATTACGTTGCTATAAAGTGCTGCCTCACACCTTTTACTTTGCTTTTTGGCTATTATAAATTATGAACTGTAAACTTTTGTGTGGATGTATGTTTTCAATACTCTTGGGTGTAACTGATAAATCATGTAGTAACTTGATGTTTAATATTTCAGGAAATAACTATTTTTCGAACTATAGGTTGATGCTAATAGCTGTGATGGCAGCAGCAGCCCGTCTGGAGTGGCTGCCACAAACGCTGGCCATAGCAGGGGAGGCATGGGAGGGTCTGTGTGCTCCACGGAGCCAGCAACAGGTGGGAACCCCAACTACTTCCAAGTTGGTACGGTAGGAGCCCTGTGCTCCCAGGCCCAGATGTGGCTGCAGACCTCGGTATTCCTGTGCTCAGGAGCCTGGGAAACCTCCCTCTCCCCCACAGCTCCTGCTCGGAGCAAAGTTTTGGCTAAGCTTGGGTGATGTCAAGACCCAGCTATGTGAATACCAACACACCAGCCCCCTGGTGCCTTTGCCCCCTCTGGACTTTAGGCACCAAGAAGCACAGACGGAGGCCAAGGGGGTACTGAGGGCAGCTTGGCATGGGTCTGCAGATATCCCTTAGCACCAAAGCCTGGGTGCCACAAACAGCAGCAGGAGGCAGACATGCTCTTGGGTAAAAAGGTGCAGGTCTCCAGTGAAACCCCACCTTCAAATCAGGGATGGCCTGAAGCCTGGAGGCTGGGCTGCCAGTTCCACAGTCCAGGGTGAGCACTTACAGTACTTATTTCAGGCCCGCCCATGGTCTCCCATGGATCAATCAGCATGCACTTCCTCCCTTCTGAAGCCCATAAAAATCTCAAACTCAGCTAGATGTCAGGCCAACTTGCCTATGGACAGGAGCTACACCTTGCTCACCTCCAACTATCTGCATATCTCATTCTTTATGGACACGGGACAAGAACTTGGGACCTGTCAAACGGTGGGACTTGGAGAAATGTCACACAAACAGTACTGAAAACATCCCTACCTACCCCCGCTCACTGTGGAAGAGCTCTAATCCTTCCAGGAGCTCAGACCTAGGGGTTCCACAAACCAGGGCTGTGACAGCTTCTTTGGGGCTCTGTGGTTTCTGGTGTCTCCAAGCTTCTGGGTGCCACCACGTTGCTCAGTGTCCACAGTAGAAACTTCCTGTAGTACTCCTGGTTCACCCACAGCCTCACAGGGTGCCAGCACCCAGAGCTGCCCACCCCATTGCACCCAGCATGCCTGGCTGTAGGCAGTGGCCAGATCCTGAGCTCACTTGCTCATACACCCCTCGCCCAATCCGTGTCTGGCTCACCCTTGGCAGGCATGGGATCTGAGCCAACAGCATGACTCAAGCAAAGCCTGCCAGGCCAAGTAAGCAGAATAAGCCCAGCAGACCCGAGCAAAACTCGGACAAATGCACCACCAGCCACAGAGCCTTCTAGCTGGAAAAGTAACACTCCCAAGGATCCTGTGACAGCTGTACCATTTTACAATCCCATCGACAATGTATGAAGGTTCCAATTTCTCCACTACTCACCAACACTTGTGATTGTCCATCTTTTTGTTTTATTTTGTTTTGAGACAGGGTCTCAGCTCTGTTGCCCAGGCTGGAGTGCAGTAATGCAATCACAGGTGACTGTGGCCTTGATTTCCTGGGCCCAAGCAATCCTTCCACCTCAGCCTCCAGAGTAGCTGAGACTGCAGGCATGGGCCACCATGAACAGCTAATTTTTAATTTCTTTGTAGTGAGACTGGGCCTCATTATGTTGCACAGGCTGACCTCGAATTCCTGGGTTCAAGCAATCCTCCCAGATTGGCCTCCCAAAAATGGCCTCCCTGGGATTATAGGCATGAGTCACTGCACCAAGATTGTCCATCTTCTTTATTTTAGCTATGCTAGTGGGTGTTAAGTATATTATTGTAGTTCTGACTTGTATTTCCCTAATGACTAATATTTTTTTCATGTGCTCATCAGCCATTAATGTAGCTTTCGAAAAAAATGTTTATTAAAGTCCTTTGCCCATGTGAAATTGGGTTATCTTTTATTGCTGAGAGGTAAGAATTCTTCATATATTCTGGATATAAGTCCCAGTATCCAGTAAGATATATGCTTTGCAAATATTTTCACCCATTTTACAGATTGTCTTTCACTCTCTTGGTATCAATGCATACAAACTTTTTTACACAAAAAAGTGTGTTTTTACAAAAACCAATTTTTTTATATATATATATATATATATATATATTTTTTTTTTTTTTTTTCATTTCTTGCCTCCTAACTATCAGTACTCATATGCAACTAGATGGAAGTAATTAAATTTACACTGGAGTTTCACAGAGTTTTCTTTTTCATTAACTTTCCAGTCTCTACCCAGATTTGGTTCCCAGAGTAAATACTTTTCATCAGTGATTCCAATTCAAAAGGCCATCTGTGTTATGGTGAATTCTATAGTATGTGAATTATAATGCAAAAAACAAGGGGAGAGGTGGAAGGCTATCTAGCCCAACCAAAGGAGCTGAAATACTATACTGTATGTCTGAGAAATCATCAATAAGACAGTTTGGAGACTTAATAACTATAGATGCTCTGTGTACAATGGAAAGAAAATAACTTTATATAACTAGCAAGCATTCAATTTTCACTTTATTTCTATATACCTTCATAATAGTTATTTACACTACCTTTTCAACAAGAGGTTTACTAGAACTATAGTCAATGAAATTTACTATTACTATTGTATAAACCAACATATGTTTTCAGAAAATTATTTCTAAGGTTTAAAAATATTTTCCCAACACAAATGCCTTGAAAACAATCCAATAAAATAAAAACCTTAATGAGAAAATATTTGCAAATCATGTATCCAACAAGGAACTTGTATCTAGAATATGTAAAGAACACTTACAACTCAGTAATAAGACAACTATATTTTAAAATGAGCAAAGGAGCTATTATAAATAGGCATTTTTCAAAAATGTACAGTAAATGGCCAATTAGCACATGAAAAGATGTCCAACATCATTAGTCATCGAGGAAATCCAAATCAAAACCAAAATGAGATACATACCACTTCATACCCATTAGGATGGCTAGAATCAGAAAGTAAGACAGGTGTTGGTGAGGATGTGGAGAGACTGGAATCTTCATACACACAAATAGGAATGTAAAATGATCTAGCCAGTTTGAAAACAGTATGGCAGTTCCTCAAATGATTGAACACACAGGTTATACATGACTCAGCAATTCCATTCCTTTCTTTTATGAGATAGGGTCTCATTCTACAGCCCAAGCAGTAGTGAAGTGGTGTCAACATAGCTTACTGAAGTCTCAACCTTCTGAGCTTAAGGGATCCTCCCACCTCAGCCTCCCAAAAAGTTAGGATTACATGTATGCACCACCATAGCAGGCTAGTTTTTAAAATTTTTTGTAGATATGGGGTATCGCTATGTTTCCTTGGCTGGTGTTGAACTCCTGGCCTCAAATACTCCTGCCATCTTGGTCTCCCAAAGTGATGGGATTCCAGGCATAAGCCACCATGCCCAGCTCTATTCTTAGTACATATCAAACACAACTGAAAACACAAATCCACACAGACACTTGCATATGAATGTCTATAGCAGCAGTATTCATAATAGCCAGAAGGTAGAAACAACCCAAATGTTCATCAGAAAATGAATGGATAAACAAAATATGGCATATCTATACAATGAAATAATATTCTGCTAAAAAAAAATAAAGTACTGATATATGCCACAACATAGATGAACACTGAAAATATGCTAAGTCAAAGAAGCTAGTAACAAAAGTCCATGTTTTGACTCATATATCTGAAAATCCAAAACAGGGAAATCTACAGATATAAAGCAGATTAACGGTTGTTTTGCACTGGTAGGGGAAGGGGGACTAGAGGAGTTGTATAGTGATAACCATAATGGTTGTACAGCTCTGTGAATATACTAAAGACTATTCAACTGTAAATGGGCAAATTCTATGGTATGTGAAATTATAACTTAATAAAGCCATTTCTTAAAAAAGAACTTGAAAGACACCTGCAAATTTACATCGAGGTTATCCACTGGCAAATGATTAATCATTAAAAATCATGTAATACACAGGAACAGAAGCAAGCCCAGAATGATATTCTTTTCCTGGGCTCCTTATTTCCATGAGTTAATGCCTTGACTGTGAAGTAAATAAATCCTGCTTTGAAAAATTTCCAGACCAAAATTACCTTAGCCATGAGCAACAACCTAAGACTTTCAGCTCTTCTTTGTTTTAAATATTCATGTGATGTAGAGTAACCATCTCCGTACCAATGTAGAAGAAACTCCTGTCACTCTACTGTACACTTTCAGACCAAACTGACAAGCTTTGTGTTTCCTCTGAGGAATGGTAAATCTTTTACTTTTTGAGACAGGGTCTTATTCTGTCACCCAGGCTGGAGTGCAATTGCATGATCACGGGTCACTACAACCTCAACCTCCTGGGCTCAAGCAATCTTCTTGACTCAGCCTCCTGAGTAGCTGGTACTAGACGTGTACTACTATACCTGGCTTTTTGTTTTTTTCTTTTAATTTTTTTTTTTTGTAGAGAAGGGTCCAACTATGTCACCCAGGCTGGTCTCAAACTCCTGGCCTCAAGTGATCCTCCCACCTTGGCCTCCCAAAGGGCTGAGATTACAGGAATGAGCCATCATGCCTGGCCTCTTTTCTTAAAGGCAATACCCATTATAGAGCTAGTTGTGTTTTCCTGTGATCTTCTTGATACCCAAAATAAGAGTTCAAATTTAACTTAAAAATGCTTCAGGGTTTATGTAATGCCTATCAATGTTACAATCCTGACCCATTTTCTGTATTGTATTTATTACTCTCAGTATTCTGTTTGTATTTTTCCTTATCCTCTTTTAAACTATTTTCATTTTCTTGTTTAATTGTATATGCATTGATAAATTTATTTCCTTGAAAGCTACACTTGTATAACAGAATTTTTGAATATTAATGACCACTGGTTCTATACTATGCAAAATATGCAATGGCACTGATCTCTATAGCAGTTATCTACATACCAAAAAAAAGGTATCAATAACTTTAAAAAGTCTTTTAAAATTATTTCATCTTAAAAGTAATGAACCTCTCAAAAAAGCAAAATAGTCAGGACAAACACTAAACAGATTAGTGTTTCCTTAAAGTTACAGAAAAATATACCAAAACAACATAAACAATTACATATTCACAAATAACACAAGTTTTTACTTTTAACAATACAAATTATAGAAATTAAATTTTTTTAAAAAATGTTAATTCTGCTTACTGTTACTAAAGAAGTAAGATGATCAGAGTTTTCAATCATTCAAATTGTAATAAAAATTTAAAGATGGGATAACAGAAATAACAGCAAGATTAATAAACAGATGAAGCCCAGCTTACAAATGGCTGAGAACCAAAAGATATTTATGAAATCAACTGTTTGGAACTTAGAATCTACATTTTCCCAAAGAAACAATGCTATCCAGAGTCTTGGGATTCTTAAGCTCAAGTATATTACATAATCATGTACTGAGAGAAACCACTTATATTTCTAAATTTCAGAACCTTATCAATGAATTGACACAAATATCTGTCTTAACTAAAAACAGAGAAGTAAAAAGTGTTCTATAAAATGTCAAGCACTATGTAAGGTATTCCCACACTATTAAGTCCATAACATAACTGAAATTGTCATGTTATGGACTTCAGAAGCTTCAGATTTACCAAGTGCCTGAATAACGGAAGTTTCATGTCTCTGAGAGTTGTGAGTAGCTTCAGCAATTTTTTTTTAATGTTCTCTCTGACCAGGTGTTGTAGCTCACGCCTGTAATCCCAGCACTTTGGGAGGCTAAGGCAGGAAAACTGCTTGAGCTCTTAAGTTCGAGACTAACATGGGCAATATAGTGAGACCTCACATGTACAAAAAATTAAAAAATCCATGCAGTGTGGTGCGCATACCTGTATTCTCAAGCTACTCAGGAAACTGAGGTGGGAAGACAGCTTGAACCCAGGAGGCGGAGGCTTCAGTGAGCTGAGATTGTGCCATCACACTCCAACCTGGGTGACAGTGTGAGACCCTGTCTCAACAACTAAATTTTAAAATGCTTCCTTTGACACTGAGTAATCTTAATAATGCTAAATAAAACTAAACATACTATACCTAATTTAATATTTGGATAACATCATACTATCCCCTAAAGATATTATCTACTTAAACCAATGTAAAGCCAGGAAATAATAATGGTAACAGTAAAAGTAACAATTATAAATAATTATAATTGGTAACATCTGAACCCCTATACTATATTCTAGGCACATGTATGCTTTCTTTCTTAACAGTAAGATGAACAGCAGTGGCTGTATGAAGAAACCACTATCATTATCACCATTTTACAAAAGAAAAAACAGATAAATAAAATACTGGCCAGGCATGATGGCTCATGTCTGTAATTCTGTCACTTTGGAAGGCTGAGGTGGGAGAACTGCTGGAGGCCAGGAGTTTGAATCCAGCCTGGGCAACACAGCAAGACCCCTCATCTCTTAAATTAAAAAAAAAAAAATTATTAGTAATTATTGGAACAATTATAAAAAACAAATGCAGCAGTAGCTAACATGTATATAGTGTTTATCATACACCAGGCAGTATAAGCATACAGCATTAAGCCATGTACCTGTAACAACTGGATATGGTGATACTAAGACAAAAAGATGTCGACTGGGTGCGGTGGCTCACACACCTGTAATCCTAGTACTTTGGGAGGGAAGGTGGGCAGACTGGTTGAGCCCAGGAGTGTGAGACCTGCCTGGGCAATATGGTGAAACCCCATCTCTTCATAAAAACACAAAAATCAGCTGGGCATCGTGGTATGTGCCTGTAGTTCCAGCTACTGGGGGAGAGGCTGAGATGAGAGGATCATTTGAGCCTGGGTGGTCCAGGCTGCAGTGAGCTGTGATTGCACCACTCACTCCAGTTTGGATAACAGAGTGAGATCCTGTCTCAAACAAACAAACAAATCAAAAACAATAACAGAAAAAGAGATCAATAGCTAGTAAGTGATGAAACAGGACTCCTCCTCTCTAGGCAGTATAGTCTAATTTCAAAGTTTATGTGCTTCATTAATAAGCTATAAATAGATTTAGAATTAGACAAAAACAAGTAGACAAAATTTTACAAAGATAAGGGAAAATATAATTCTGTGCCCTTTATATGTTACCACGACATTTATACAGAAAGCAAAATATATGATTCTACACCTCTAGGAAGCATAAACTTGCCTAGCAACAGAAAAAGGACGGTATCAATTGACATTTAAAATGAGACCAGGTTCCATTGAGCTGGAGTTTAAAATAAAATAGAGACCAGGTAAACAGCTCATATAAAGTCAATTAAGAAGTGGGTAGCAGATATGGGCATTTTAGTTTCTGTTTGTTTTTTAACTTCAGTCTTGCTCTGAATGTTTTCCAGAATGCTTACTACTGCGTATAAATATTTTTGAGACTGTGTCATATACCAGATCACATAAATATATAAATACTTAACACAAACAAAGTTTCAAAGGATGCTTTTGGAGTACCTCAAAATCAGACTTTTGCAAATCAAATATTAATTACAATGTTCAGCTAAAAATGTAAGGAGCTTAAATTTGTTACAATGATAAGCCATTTCAAAAGCCAAAGAACTAGTCAGGCATGGAGGTTGTATGCCTATAATCTTAGCTACTAAGGAGACTGAGGTGAAAGGATCGTTTGAGCCAGAGTTTGAGATCAGCCTGGGCAACATAGCAAGACCCTGTTTCAAACAAAACAAAACAAAAAGCTTGTGGTCCTAAGGAAAACTAGCTACATAAGTGTAGATGGACACATCAATACAAACTCATTACTCACCATAAAAATAAAATTTAAAAATTCATGTAAAAGATTTTTAGCCCTTTCACAAAAAGATAACCTGTTAATTTAAAAATCACTCAAAGCAAAATATTTAGAAGTTGTATTCTCAAAGAAAAACACTTAACATTTGCTATTCCATACTGCTTTGTGTATATGCAGAGAACAGTCAGATGAATAAGTATGCTCCTTCAAGGAAAAGGATACAGTTTTTGTTCCTCTGACAAAGCCAGTCACATTGACTGACAAGCTTAAATTTATACTTAAATTGATACTTACGTTTTTATGGGTAAAGTTTTCCAAGTCTTTGGAAGGCATTTTTTTTTTTGAGACAGTGTCTCACTTTGTCATCCAGGCTGGAGTACAGTCTCATGATCTCAGCTCACTGCTACTTTCACCTCCTAGGTTCAAGCAATCCTCCCACCTGAGTCTCCCAAGTAGGTGGGTTTACAAGCATGTGCCACCATGCCCACTTATTTTTTTGTATTTTTAGTACAGATGGGACTTCGCCATGTTGGTCAGGCTGGTCTCAAGTGACCTGCCTGTATCAGCCTCCCAAGGTGCTAGGATTACAGGTGTGAACCACCATGCCCAGCCCTAAAGTATGTTTTTTTAATGAGGTTACAATCTGCTGCTATCCATCATTCTGAAGCCCAAAAAGTTTGAAAAATGTTATCCATTTTGCTACACATATATTGGTTTTGATTTGAGGACGCCTCAGATCCAGCTACTACATTTTTTAAATCCCCCAAGAGTGGTCCTAGGGATTTTGAAAAAGACTGTTTACATATATTCCAAATGAAAACGTTACCTGATATTCAGAATCCAATCTAAATGAAGAGTCTCTTGAGTGACAGGTATCATTTAAACTATTTCCTCTGCTTCCAGACATCATCCTAGCACTTAAGGAGCTGGAGGGTTGAACAGAAATTCTTCTTGGAATCCTTGAAGGTTTAGACTCCATTCTTAAAGATTTTTCTGTGAAATGCAAATTTTCATTAATTGTCTTTGGCAAAACATCAAAGTTTTAATGCTTAATCCTCCCTAATCATCAGCTCAAATAAAAAATTCACCACGCAAATTAATTATATCTGACAAGGTAAATTGTGAAATGATCACCACCTCTCTTCCACAAAGCAGTTTATCAAAGGTTTCCTATCATCCATAAAAGGAAGCAAACAAACATGGTAAAAGTGGCATGAAGAATTCTGAGGTCTGCTTTTTCCAAAATCTGGGCTCTTTCCCTTATCTAATTTTGTCTATTACATATTCTACATGAATTTGTCCTTGACTCTCTTGGTATGCTCTATTTTTAGAGTTCAATGCTCATACCTGTTATACTATTTGCATACCTCTCACAAACCTTTGTATGTGCCTGGAAAGTCTATACATTCCCCATGCAATTCTTGGTCATCAGTTTAAACGCAAGTAGATTTCTTCTCTGTATGCTTCCACTTCTGACATACCCCTTTCATGCTACTTTGCATTGTAATTTGTTTACCCTTCTACTTCCCTGTCTCAACAGTGAATTTCTAGGTTAGAATCATTTAAAGTATTTAAAAATCACTGCCTGGGGTATAACAGGTACTCAATAAACAGAAGTTAAAACGAAAAAATGATGGACTTTTTATTTACCACGCATAGGACCTCTTAATTATAACAAAAATAACAGCGATAGCTGATATCTATGAAGTATTATATGGCGAGATCTGGGAATAAGGACCTTCTGATTATCTGTTAGTTCGTTGAATCTCCAGACCAACCCCGTGAGACAGGCACTATATTACCTCCACTTTATAAATAAGAAAACAGGCACTGAGAGATTAAGTAATTTGCACATGATCACAGAGCTAATAAAGTACTTCTCAAAATGTTTTCAAAGATTGTTTATGGTACTACTAGAAAGTGACATTTTAAGTAAAAAGGTCAATCTACAAACACATGCAGTATGATTCTAACTATGCAAATAAAATGAATTAAAACTTCTGAGGAAAAAAAAAACCCAAAATGTGGAATTGAGTGCTTTCTAGTTTAAAGTTTAATAATTTCCAAGTTTTCTTCACTAAACATTTCTAAACCCACAATTACCTATGACTATATATAAATGGAATCATACAATATTGTGTCCAGCTTCACTTGCTCAACATTGTATTTGTGAGATTCATCAGTGTTGTTGCAGGCAGTTTTAAGTTCACTCTAATTTCTGTACATAGCATTCCACTATATGAATGCACACAACTTATTTTCCCATTCTACCATGAATGAACACTAGATTATTTCCATTTGGGGGCTATAAAAAACAGTGCTGCTATAAGGAAATTACTATTATAAACTTAAAAGTTTATAATTTTAAAACTTTTTTTAAAAGAAGTTTTAAAATTTTCTCAGGCAAAGACTTACAAAGCCTCTGACTGTATTTCATATAAGTGGAATCGTACAGTATTTGTCTTTTCGTGATTGGCTTATTTTACTTTCCCTAATGTCCTCAAAGTTCATCTATACCATATGCCAGAATTTCCTTCCTTTTTATGGCTAAATAATATTGCATTGTATGTATAGTCATGCATCACTCGAGAATGGGAATATATTCTAAGCAATGCATCTTTAAGTGATTTTGTCATTGTGTGAACATTAGCAGTGTATATACACAAGCCCAGATAGTACAGTCTAATACGTGGACTATATGGTATAACCTATTGTTTCTAGGCAGCATGCCTATACAGCATGTTTCTGTACTGAATACCGTAGACAACTGTAACACAATGGTGAGTATTTGTATATTTAAACATAGAAAAGATACATCAAAAATAAGTAAGAGTAGAGCGTTGTGTCAATAACGTTAAGGTTACAGGTTCGATTCCTGTATGGGCAAAGTGTTAGCTGTGGTTTCGGGCGGCCGGTTAGCTCAATAACGTTAAGGTTACAGGTTCGATTCCTGTATGGGCAAAGTGTTAGCTGTGGTTTCGGGCGGCCGGTTAGCTCAATTGGTGAGCTCTTGGTGCTCGTGCTCAACTGCCCAAGGCCGCGCGCTCGATTCCTGGCTGCGCCTCGGTTCCCGGCCTCACGCCGGCCGCCCCAGCATTTTGGCCAGGTGCGGTGGCTCACACCTGTAATCCCAGCACTTTGGGACGCCAAGGCAGGTGCATCACGAGGTCAAGAGATCAAGACCATCCTGGTCAACATGGTGAAACCCCATCCCTACTAAAAATACAAAAACTTAGCTGGGCATGGTGGCGCGTGCCTGTAATCCCAGCTACTCAGGAGGCTGAGGCAGGAAAATTGCCTGAATCCAGGAGGCGGACGTTGCGGTGAGTTGAGATCGCGCCATTGCACTCCAACCTGAGTAACAAGAGCGAAACTCCGTCTCAAAAAAAAAAAAAAAAAAAAAAAAAAGAGTAGTCAAATCATAGAGAAAGAAGATTGGTGGTTAGCGGGAGATGGGGAGCTATTATTTAATGAGTATGAAATTTTGGTTTTACAAGATGAAGAGTTACAGGCATAGATGATAGTGATGTCTGCACAACATTATGAATGTATCCAATAATATTGAGTTGTACACAAACATGTTAAGATGGTAAAATTTATTATGTTCTCAG